TGGTGGTGGTGCTGGTGGGGGTGGTGCTGGTTGCGCTGGGGTGGTGCTGGTGGTGCTGGCGGTGCCGGTGGTGCTGCAGTTGCTGGTAGTTCTGGGCCCGCACTTTTGGTGATCATACTTGAAGTGGGGTGGATACGGCCTCAACCCTAAACCCTCGAGCTTACACTCCTATGAAGTAGCAGCAGCAGCAGCAGCAGCAGCAGTCGTGCGTCTTGGAGTGCCTAAGAAAGGCTAGCTCTTCCCGGCATACGAAGCACAGAACACCCACAAGCCAGAAGGGTAGCGACCAGGTCTAAGGAAACACAGACAACCTTCCGGCAGTTGAGGCCCCAAGGCAGGAGCTGAGGCCGCAAAAGCAGCAAAGCAAAGCTGCAACGCGGTCTGGGCTTAAGTACCTAATACAGACACGCCTCCGTCCGAACCTTCATAAACCTGAAAGCCTTCTCGCAGCAAGGTCTGAACACAGTTCTCGGGAGTGGACCACTTTGCCTTCTCTTCCTCGGTCAGCTGAATCTTCTCCTTCGCAGTTTGGGTCTGAAGGCACGGAGAGCCGAAAATTTCGGGGAGCCACTGTGTTGCGTTCCAATCTGAAAAAACGCGCCTCTTCCTCCTCCGGCTTTGCCTCGGTGGCCTCTTCCCCCTCCTTCGAGCTGGTGCCGTTGAAGGCTTCGGTTTGGAGCCGGGGATGCTGGATTCAGCAAGACCTGTTCATCGTTAGGCTACGCTACTCGGTTAAAGGCATTCACTGGGTGACTGCATCTTTTTGTCCACACGATACCTTTCTCGTGGGAACACGGTGGACAGAACAGGCAAACAGGGTTTGGGCGAAGTATGGAGCTCTGTCGACTCTATTTTGAGCCCTGCCACGGGCCAAGTCTCGACATGACCAAGGAAGTCTCGGCCTTAGCCTTAGCCTTAGCCGAGTGCAGGGAGTCATGGTCATGGCGACGTCCTTGGCATTGGCCTCGGACTCCTCCGGCGCTGGCTCGGCAACTGGCAGAGAGGGCACCAGCGTGACAGCATGGGGCGTTCGGGAAGGTGGTTACAGGGACAAAGACTCATGGCTCTTCCAGGTTTCGACACGAATTTGCAGGCCCAAACCCGAAACCTGCACCAACAGCACCCTGCATGAATGCCGCGCTGATAGTTCAACCAGGCTTCTCAGGAGCTGCGCGTCCCAACAGTCGGCAACTCATCTCTGCACGAACAAGAAATCCCCCAGCGCAAAGCAAACTCTCACAGCCTCCTCTCTCTCTCGGATTAATCAGATCCCACAACTCTCAGCCCCACGCCTTCTCCACTAGCAGGTTTCTCCGTGCCGTTCTCCGGCTCCTCCGCATCGTCTTCACTTCGGACTTTGGTGGCAGAAGCATTGGGTTGTCCAACTTCGGAGTTAACGCTCAGGAACACCCTGCCCAAGGCTGAAGATCATGCCAGCAACCGCAAAGCTCTCAGAGGGACACAGAATCCAAATGACTCAAACCTAAAGTTTCCGTAGTGCCTGTATTCACACACTAGGTTTCGTTTCGAGTCCCACGTCCTACAGACGGCACAAGCCCGAGAGCGCCGATGAGTATGGCAGGGCGCGCGGCGTGTCCTGAGTCTGAGAATCCCAGCCGCCACGTCGCGCACGCTTGGGAGCGGCCTGGCATCGAAAACAGAAGACACTTTGCCTGTCTACTCCGGTACTCGTGTCTAATCTACTCACAACTGTTTGGGGGAATACGTCACCGATAGTGTCGCCATCATTAGGCTGGTAACACCCTGAGCAAGACAGGAGTATGATAAAGGTGTTCAGACATTGACATAGGTTTACAAAGCATTGTCCGATCAATTCGACGTTTCCTACAACTTCAGCCATCTTCAGCCATAGACTCATGCCATAGACATTGTTGGGCACTCTAAGGAATACCAACTACAGTACTTGCTATGCTCGTTCAGGCCGCCATATATCCAAGCTTGGCCTCGTCACTTTTCCGCCTCTTTTCTCTTCTTCGGGCTTCAACCTGCGAGTCGCAATGCATGGGGGAAGTCTTTTCTCATTCCAGTGGCCTTTGAGTTTGATGAGCTCTTGAAGGTACCAGAGACATGCCACTGCCACGAAAGAACCGGAACGGGGTTTGGCCTTCTCAGCCAGGAGGAGCTCCTGGATCCGGGCCTGACACCCAGGAGGAAAGGCTTGTCCACCTGAGGGCCTCGCCCTTTGGACCGGAGAGCCCCAAACCATCCCACCTTGTACTCCTCTGTTGGCTCTCCCATCGCGACAATCGCCACACGCCTCGGGGGAGAAGTGCCAATACTGGCATCCTTACACCCTTACATGCTCAGAAAACTTCTACGGCTTCCTGAGTTCTACCGTCTGTACACCTTCACATGTCGAGATATCAAGGCTTCGCTTCCAATCAAGTCGAATCCTAGTCGGGAGCCATTGTTCCGAAACGTGTGCGCAGCATCGCCAGCTTCGAAGGTGGCAGGGCACCGCACGCCCGCGTGCGCCGATCCCACTGACATCAAATCAACTGCATCCGGCACAAAGATGCACTTGGCCCCGAGTTAAATACGACCGATGCAAAGTTAGGGTTCATGCGCAGTTGCGGTCGAAGCACGCATATCGAGGCTGGCGGTGCAAGCCTTGCAAGCCTCTATCCTTTTTGTACACGATTCATCTGAGACAACACTTCGACGAAGCTGACAAACCAAACTAACGAGCCGACATCTACGTAACCAATTACTCAAAGCGAACTAACAACAAGTTAATATAATACAAATCAGCAAGGAATGACAAGCTCGGCCTCTTTAGGGTTCAGGGTCCCAGGTTGGGAAACCTCTGTTGGCACAGGCCCCGGGGCGAGTCTTTCAGCATTCTTCCAGAAGGTGCTCCAAACCGCAAGTGAACTTCCCCAGAAACCCCGTGATCTCCCTAGCTGGGCCAAGTGTCTTAAAGTCGAAGGGCGAAAACCTGACAGGGACTGTAGGAGTTCGGGCTGGGACCACTTCACCACCTAGAGGGTTCCGATCTCAAAGCTTTCGGCAGTTTGCTTCGGACTTGCAGGTGTTGCTGGTCTGCCTAAGGTATGACTATATCCGTCGCGAAGGCGAACGGCCTCTCAAAGCAAACACCTGCGATTGCCGGAGTTGGACTTGTACGAGGGGCTGACCATATGGCTTGACTGTCTTGGTTTCACAGGTGTCGGGACTCTGGGTTCACCAAGCTTCAGGTTTGGCGATGGGCTGGCGGAAACCAACAGCCGCAGGACCCAGAACGCCTAAATCGTAAACCCCAGAATCGTAAACCTGACAACCCGACCAAAACCCCATACCGGTCGGATGATGCCTGATGGTTCAGGGCTGATTGAGGCAGTCAGGGTAGAGCTGAGTACCGTCAGAGATCAATGCAGAGAACACACACACACACACCTCAGACCTGACGGTCACATCTTGTCGACCTCCTACCCAATAGGCCGGCTGGACTGCCCACTGCTGCCGCCCCTATTGCGTTGTTCCAGTACTCTGATGGCCCAGCTTGGTGCTTGTGTTGCCCTATTGCCGTTCTCTTGCATCTCTAGCATCATGGCAATGGTGATCTGAATGTTCATCACCATCATCTTCCTCATCATCACCAGAATCAGTATCCACACCGATGCTGTCGTCATTGCCGTGCTAATACCCTGTGACAGCCCCGTCTCCATCCTCATCCTCGTGATCAAGAACAAACATGTCAGCGCTCTCATTCTTACCTCTGACACTCTTCTCGTTACTGCTGTTGCTGCTGCTACAACAACTACCACTACTACTACCACTACTACTACTACTACTACTACTACTACTCTCTCTCTCTCTCACTCGCGACCGCCTTGCGTCCGGCAGGCTTAGCCCGGCTGCAACAGCACCACTATTGTGGCCCGAAGAACATATAAACAACCTAACAATCGAGAGTATCGCCCCGATAGGGCCAAGCATACTCCCTTTGCCAGCCCGAGCCGAAGCTCCAGCAGCTGGCAACAGAATCATTATCATAGAATTTGCGAGAACCGCAAGAGGATCCTGTACAGAATGTGTTCTACTGAAGGGCTTAGCACAGCAAGTGCCACGTTAAATGACAGAGCTTGCTCCACTTCAGTGCGACACGTTTGACCTCAGAGAGCATCAGCTACAATGCAGTGGCAGAACGTCTGAGCGAGGGAAGCTGCGCTCCACCACCCCTTTCATCGACGGGTCGCCTGGCTTGGTTTGTCGGGCAGCGAGTTATTCAAGCTGACTTCGGCACACATTTAGGCTGGAATCCGGCAGCCTCGAGAGCATTCCTATCATCCCCCGTGAGGCCTTCACTCTGACCTATGTGAAACCCTATCAAAATAAGCCGATCACCGCTCCATGGTAGGCTAGCATGGAGCCGCCTGGGATGGAACTTCACCGGGGTGCTCAAGGAAATGACATGGCCGCGCGGACCACCGTTCTGCAGCTGGGAAAGACCTTCCTCATCCTGGATGAAAAGCTCGCCCCCCTGAAAGAGCAGGGCATGCAGAGGTTCAAGGATGTCGCCATGTTGTGGGAGTCCCGGTGTGGGGCCGCTAGAACATTCAAGCTCATGGTGGCCGAAGTGAACGCATGGTTCGGATCCCACGTGCTAAGGAGTCCAGCGAAAACTCGAGAGCACCACGGAAAACGGCGCATCGTGACATGCAAGCCTGTCATCGGCCCCCTGTGCCATGCACCCACCGTCACTCTGTGCGGCATCGCCATGTCTGGCGCCGGCTGCTGCGGCCAACGTATAGAGGCATCCCTGGGCATGGTTCGCATCAGTCTTTGCAGCTGGGTCCAGGAGGCTTGTCCATGAGAGATCAAAGCCAGCGCAAGATACTCGGTCTGATTTTGAGGACGCTCGATCCCGTTAAGACAAACACCTCGAAGGAGGTATATCTGCTTTCCCATGAGATCAAACTTGAGCCCATCCTCCGCCTCAGTGAGTGGCTTGACACCAGCCATGTATATGCCCTCGAAGATGTCCATGTGCCCATGAATGGATCGCGCACCCTCGTGACGCCTATCAAGGCGCTCGGACATCATAACAGCGTCACATTCCTCAGCCAACAAGTCCTCCGCTTCAGGGCGCCGGTGAGCGGCAGGTAAGCAGGAGTCCTCCATCTCAAGCTCCGTACTCTGGCCTTAGGGTGTTGGGCCTAGGAGGGGCGTAGCGCCTGAATCGCGGGCCATGTAACCCGATCAGGCGTCCTCCAAAACCGGGGCAGGGGACAAGGACCTAAGGGAACCCAGAAGCAGCCCCACACCCAGGAGGAGGCGAACCAAAGAGGGGACCTAGCCTAACCTAGAAAGCACACCCCACACAAGGCAGTCGAACTGAAAAGGCTTCGGCGAGCGCGCAAGTGGAAGCTCTGTGCAAAACCATCCGGGACAATGCGCTTGGATTTCGGTCCCGTGTCGGGAGCCAGGGGCCGTCTGGGGGTGCGGCGCGGAAGTTTTGCTGAAGGGCAGCGCTGAGTCCGATCTGAGCTCTCAGCAGCAATGGGCGAGCCGAGGCACCCATGCCAGACCTGGGTACAGCACTGTTACAGCACCGGATGCAACCTGCCGCGCACGTGCTTATGGCATCTGTCACGGCACATGACGCGCCGCACTTGCGCCAAGGGCTGTATTTCACCGAAAGGCTCGAGTGGTAGCGACGGCCCCCAAAATCAGCTCGAATGCAGGGCAGTGCGTAGCGACTGCAGCCTGCAGCAACATGTGGCCTTTGTGCCCGTAGTGCCCAGGCTGAGCATTCGCCAGAAGAGGCGTCTGAAATGACAAGTGCACCAGCTACTTGAAACTCCCCGGCGAAGCCCTGCAAGTACCTAGTGTCGTCCGATGGCTCATCGGAAAAACAAGGCACACTCACCCAATGTAGGACTCAGAGATTTGATTGGCGAGCGTGGATCGCTGGAGTCTCTCAGGCTTTATGGCCATTGCAATCAGCTGCGTAACAGCGAGCCCACAAAGCACGGGCACAACCGTGCACAGCTTCTCTGCATGATCATTCTGCTGCCCAAACTGCACCATAAAGGTCAAGGACTCACCCTTCATCTCAGCCGCCAGCGGCCTGGTCGGGTGAAAGCGAGTAACAGCGTAAGGCTGAGGGACGGCTTTGTCGATGTCATCCATGATCGAGAGCACGGCTTCCGTGGTCACGCCCGGCTTGGAGCCATCGCGCTCAAGGGACTTCTCCTGCGCAGTGCATTCCATTTGAGGTATGACCAGACCTGCGTCTTGGGGTCGAACCACCCCAAACTTTCGAGCCGCTGGGACTGCTCCTGCGACATTTCCGCTATCCGCGTGCGAAGTTCCATGAACACGCACTTCAGCAAGGTTGCGCGCAGAGGCTTGTTGATGGTCTGCGGCGCATTCTCTCTGGCCTTGCGCCACGTGTCAGCCGCAAGAAAGATGCTTCGAACAAGAGAGTTCGGCGCGTCAATGCGGAAGTGAGCGACATAGCTAACCTCGATCTTGGCAATGTTTATGGAGTCCTCGTGGCGCAATATCATGCGCTGAAGCTGAGCCATGCATGCCTTGAGCTTCGCGATTTCGGCCTCAGCCGCCGTGTGGTCATCAGCCGCCGCATCCCACGCTTCCCACGCCGAGGACGGCTGCCACTGACGCTTCTGGCCAGTGGGTTTCCAGCCTCGCTTGCCTGCGCCACTGCCATATCCACCGTCGGAAGTCCGCTGCTTCTTGGGATCAGACGCTTGCGCCCCGCTCTCAGTAGGGGCAGTGGACTGGGCACTCTGGGGACGAAAGGCACTGTACATGGCAAGCTCCTCTTCCGTGTCCATGCTCATTGCGAAAGATGGGGAGAGTCCCCAAGAAGAGCTGGCACACCGGGTTTGTGCTGGAGCCAGAGGGCATAGACATTCGTACGGTGCTGACGCAAGAGCCTCTGCGGTTTAGCAGCTGTGCCATCCTGCGTAAAATGCCAGGCATCAGAGCATCTGAGCAGTGAGCGATAGTGCCCCGCACGAGGCGTGGCGCCAAAATGAAGCACCGCAGCAACAACCTGGTACACATGCCAACGGACCTGCAGCCTATCAACAAAGACCGGAACCCTGACATCTTCATCAAACCAGACCTCGCTGAAGGATTTGTTGACGCCAGCGTACCTGTGCAATCCAAACAGTAAGAGGTCCGAGGCTGCGCAAAGCGCGTGTGGAAAGCCTTGCCGGTGCCATTGCGTAAGGGCCTCCTGCAGGGTGACATTCCGCTCCACAGCTGGAAGCATGATGGGCCCAACTCCTTCGGCCTGTTTGCTCACTCGACCCTCAGCTAATAAGCGAGCCTCCCATCTACCCGCATCAATCCCTGCCGCCTGTATGAGGGGCGTAATGAACTCCAGGGTGTCCTGTTGGGCTGGCCCGAAGTGCCAGTGACGCAAAAGACTGCGCAGAGGAAACTGACTCGCAAGTGTAAGGCTGGTATTCCTTTGCGCGGCCTGATACGCAGCTGTGCGCAGGGAGCGAAGGGCCCGCGGGAAGGAGGAGAGACCCTCGAGGGCATGCAGCAAAGCAAGAAAACCAGCATTTGCATAGCAGTGGTTGTGAGGATTGCGCAAGACAAGTCGGAGGATCCAGTCTGGGGGAAAGACAACGGGCAGGGGGGGCGGATTAATCGGGTTATCAGCCGTAACTGACACGGGCGCCTGAGTCGGCGGAGCACAGCCACGCTGAGGAAGAGCTGGCGCCTTTTCGGACACAGACCCCTGCTTGGCCCAGTGCTCCATGAGAGACCCTTGGCGAAGGCCTCGAGGGCGGTTCCCAATGGTAAATCCTGCGGCTGCCGCCTGCTGCAATGTACACCCTTGCTGCAACAGGGCTTTAGCGGCGAGAGCCTGAAAAAGTGCCGGGCATTGCGACGCATGACCACGAGTGTTTTTGGCCTGACTACCGCAGAACACACAAGGCTTCCGAAACAAAGCCACCAAACTGGCCGACTCTGAACTTGCACTGTGGTGGCTGGCCTCCCAGGCCCCGGGGTGTTGGATCTGCCAGTGCGGCTTGATCCTGGCTGAGTACCTGATACGCTGTGAGCACAGAATACACTGTTGAGCCAAACACCGTATGGCACCGCCGTCCGACTTTGGGTCAAAGGCGCCGTCCTGAAGCAGTAGCCGAGCTTTCGCAAGCTCATCCTCCACGAGTGCCGCGGCCGGTGGTTGAGGCGGGTGCTGGGCTTCGAAGTCTCGAATGCGGGTGAGTAGATCCTCGACCGTAGACCCGTCAATAATCTGCCGCTGCACCCACGGACAACTGCCTGATTCGAGGTGCTTGCGAAGTGAGCTCCAGTCGTGAGCTCGAAAATGGCAGAACCTACATATTGGCACACCAAACAGAGACTGCTCAGCACGGCAAAAGCGCAGCTTGGAGCCACGCCGTACATCTGGGTGTCGGCGATGTAAATGCTGTGAAAGCCCCTCCGCGGTCCCAAAAGCAAGGCCGCATACCGGACAGTCCACCGAGCAGATGGCAGTCTTTCTGCCCGAAAGGACCGTGAGTCCATGCGCGCCACATTTGAGAGCAGCGACCTGGTCCAGGATAGCTTGGGCACGCACCTGCTCAGGGCGCTTGAGAGCCGCACTGCGTCCCTCGTCGATGGTGATTTGCCGGCATAGCCTGCTGATGCGCTGGAACAGGAGTTGCATGGGACGAATCTGAGCACGCTCAAGCACTTCCTCGTTGCTGATCCCATGTTCATAGATTCTGAGAACTTTGCGGAGATGTTGAGCAATGTCGGAGGAAAGCTTTCGCACGACCTCGGCGGTGATACCCACAAAGACCAGCCCATACAGCAAGGAGCTCACAACAATTGCGATATAGATCCGGAGCCTGTGCCCCGCCGTCAGCACCCCATTGACGCGAAGAACCTTGCCGAGTTGTTTGAACGCCGTGTCCGCTTTATCGGAACGATGCCTGATGGTGCGTCCCTCAAAGTTGTCGTAGGACAGGATCGCGCCTAAGTACTCCATGCTCTCATGACAGGGGAGGCGAGGAACTCTACATCTCCATGCAAGATGCAGG